AAAGAACAAAATTCCCTCCAAAAAAGGCCATCTGACTTCAAAAAAACAAAGGAACTCTTTCTGACCAATCCTCTAAGGAAGCTTTAACAAATGAGACCCATATATTCTTTGCTTTGATAGGGAGAAAAAATGCTAAATACTCAGCAACTCCAAAATTTCCATTGGAAGAGCTATCGTTGCGACCTGTAAACGAATAGGCACAGAAAACTGCAAGGAAATCTTCAGAAAGACTACGAAACCGAAAGCCCAATCGTACTCCCAAGCCCTTTTAACCAGAAGCACACTTTGCTGACTGCACACTTCAGTTTTCTTCCCGATAATAGAGACTTCACTTTTCTCCCCGATAATAGACAGCAAATAGACAAGGATTTAACTAAAAAACACCAGCTTCAAATACAAGGAGGGAGGGGCTTAGGAAAACCTGAAAACACTTGGGCACTCGTACTCCAATAAGAAGACCAATCTCCATTCTGAAAAAAGATCTCCAACAAAATGCCGCAACCTCCCAACACCATTATTCCATTTGGACCTTTAAACATCTTTTTACTCTCTTCTCTCCTTTTTTTTCACCTCAACAAACACCCTTTCAAACCATAGGGTCGTCTTCCAACCAAAGCTATCAAATCATTACTTTCTTTTCAATTTTCTTATGACTTGACATAGGTAACAAACTAAATCCAGACTTTCTTAAAAACTCTAAGCCTCCAATTCCAAGTGACTTCTTCAAGATGTCACTCCCCATCTTCTGAAAACGTCATTTTAAATGCAGGAGAGCGATCGTTTAAAGTATAGTAGCATAAGCTTACAGTGCGAAAGGATATAAATGACAAAAAGATACACTTTTTCATTCTTAAACGTAGGTTCAGGACAAGACAGTCAGGAAAATTCATATCTATAGATATAGTCCTTATTTAAACTTTCACGACCCAACTATTGCAAGAAAACTAAAATTAACAAGGTAAACTTGGAACATTTGTGCATTAGCACTAAAATGCACAATGGATATACCTGAGATAGGGTAAGATCCCCCCTGACATGATGCACAATTTCTGCCAGTAAACTATAGGCTAATGGTCTTAATGTCTCATAGCATGCCCGACCAGTTCCCACTAGAACCCTAAAAAGGTGGAACGATAATATAACAAAATATAAGTTAAATAATAGCAAAGCTCAGCATTAGGATGTGTATAGGACAAGCATATTACTTCTCTTCCAACAGTGTATCAATCAAAGGAAATAAGCCCCTCTTATACTCTGTTCCAAGAACATGTTTCAGGGCTACTAACAATTCCTGCATTGAACAACCTTAAGCTTAGTTCTCAGATTTTCTTTTCGACCAACTGACTAAGTTGGAAAAGAAACCCAGGATAATAAAGGACAAAAGTTCTCACTTTCCGAATTGACACGGAATCTGAACATGTAACCAGCAAATTCACAATACTCTTACAAATACTTTCTTCGTGTGGCCTGATATAATCAGCAGAACTCCTCAGCAAATATGTTAAAAAAGAAACTGTCTGCAATCACAGAGACATGAGATAAGTACGTTGTTACTATACTTCCTGATTGACTGCTGTGGTTAATGTACAGCCAGATTGACTACTGTGGTCAGTGGAACTTTACTTCCTGATTGACTAATCTAATGGTATGCATAGCTTATGATAAAAGACAGATATTCAACTCTAGACCATAATTCTTTGATGCAATATGAATACAAAGTAAATCACTAATAATATCAGGTATATATGATCTTCAAAAACATATAATATCCATTGTAGCCATACTTCATTAAGGACGAAAGATTCTACTGATATAAGCTCAACAACATCAAGAGAACGTACACCATGGCCCATAAAGAGTATCTGAGGATAATATTAACATGTCATACATAAATATGCATGCATAGCAGGGACATGTCACGCAACTGTGAAGATAAATTAATGGAAAATTGAAAGATAAGATAAATGAACTCACTAAATCAATCACAATGAACGTGTAAAGAGGCTAGTCGTGAAATTTAGTTTTAACGTACAATGGCAACCAATTTAAGATCCAAAAAGAAAAAACAAAAACAAAGAGTATCGGTATACAGCATACCTTAACCTGCGCACCCTTCAGTTCAATGAAATGAGTCTTCAAAAAGGGAGGAACCTTTTCAGGTCCCGGAACAGAAATAGCAGAAACCATCAGAGGCAACAAGACAGGGATATTTGTTTGAACAAGCCGACTATACAGTTGGAAGAGAAACATGACAACAAGTGGACTCTCCGTTACTATCTTAAATGAACGGGTACTAGGATTAAGCTGCACAGTCCCCGTGTAGCCGGTAGTAATTGTCTGGTCCGTTGAAGTGGATACATCCATGGGCTTTATATCTTCGCCACCGGCAGCCGAATTTTCAAAGAAATGGCTTACGGTCAACTTAAAGTTCTGGTAAATTTTGCACACAAAGTCCAGGAATGGCTGCACTTCATTTTCTAGAGTTGGTCTAAAATTTCTGAGGAGATCAAATATTATGCGGATACAAATTAAGCCGTTCTCCTCGTTATCTGTGGTAAGCACTTGCATGGCGACCTTTAACAGGTCCTGCACGAAAGGTCTTAAAACTTCACTGTGAGGAAGACGATTAAGGATCTCCACCACGATGTTCCGAAGTTTGTGTTCATGATTGTCAGTATATTGAGGCTTTGTAATCTGAACTAGGATTATAGAGAACGCCCGAAAGTAGCATTTCAGAAAATTTAAGTACTCGGGAGTATGAGCAATCTCCAGGCTATCTCGAACTTCCGTTGCCATCTGAAGCCTTGTCTGAATACCTGCTCGCAAACAAATATTTCAGAACAGAAAAAAGATTCTTACAGGTAGCTCAGTTCGGTCGCGGAGGAACAAAAAGAAAAAGCGACAGCAATACAGAACTTGTAAACTTCAAAAAGAAAATGAAACTCAAGAACTTTGCATACTCCATAGCTTTAAACTCAAGTGCTCTAGTTTCTCAAAACTAAACSGGAGAAAAAGCAGCTATGTTTGCTCGCGCACAGAGAAATTGAGAGAGAGAGAGAGAGTACTGAGTTCAGGCTCGACGAGTTGGCGGGAATGCAGCTCGAAATTCTGAATGGGACTCATGGCGACCTGGAAGTAGCGAAAACCCTAAAAAGAGAAGAAGCACAGAAATTGTAGACCGTTTAACGACTATATGTTCAGAGCGTTTGGCAGTTCCTCAGCTTCTTCCTCTTCCTCATGCTCGTAATAGGCTTTGCAGCGTCTTCATCGACTAGCAAAACAAGAAATGAGAGAATCGTGCGACTTCTGTGCAGGAATTGTCCAATGAATTCGATTTCCTCTCTGATTCTTAGGGCTCAGTGATGTTTGTTGCGCAGAAGTTGTAAAATTTTCCAGTCGAATTTGCGTTTCCCGGGTAGACTTCGACTTCGATCCCTCCCGAGAGTCCCTCCTCAGTCCTCCCTCGCGTCCCGGAAATTCGGAATCAACAATCACTTGGGAAATTATAGTCGGTCCTCGTAATCTTACGAAAGGGCTGGAACTAACTGAGCTACCGGCCCATGGGTTTTACATGAGCCCATAGCCCATTGGTATTGAAACCGTTCCACTGTCCTTTGTACATTGACTCTTTTTTTTTAGCCGCTTTGTACATTAACTTGAGTAAACTACTTTTTTTTTTTACTTTAAAAATTTAAATGTATAGTTATATTAATAATATTAAAAAATATATTGATAAATATATATATATATACTATTTCATGTTATAAAATTATTTTATTTTTTTATTAAAAATTAAAATATCTAAAACATAATATTTTTTAGATGTAATACAAAATATATTATAAATTATAAATATATATTCTAAAATATTAAATACAACTATATTTTTTTATTAAATCTTACGTTTTCAGATCATGAAATAAAGAACTAAATGCATCGTATTCTTTAATGGATAGCTTTTTAAATATTTAGACTTTGTGATATTATTTTGTTTTTAGTTTTATGGATACTTTTTAAGTTAAATTCCA